TATTAGGCAGTAAAATGTGTTGTATTGCATCGTTAGAAGTTTACGATTGCCATAACTCACGGAACGAATGCTGGATTGGTTTGAAATATAAAATTTACCTTTCGTTTTCAAACAGCATGAAATTGTCTATAATTTAACACGTAAATTTTTCCTGACAAACCTCTTTCAAATCTAACTCATGATTTGCACTCCAGACACAGCACAAAAGAAAATAACTCATTCAATCCCCAATTGCCAACGCTCCTAATAAAATCAATGTGTCAAATTTATTGACAGTCAGCTAAGAGTAACTCAACAGTTGGCGGTGCTGTTGACTGTCTACTTATCATTCCTTTAGTGTTATTAGTTTAAAATTAAGAACGGCTAAGCACAAATAAGCTTATACGCAAAAAGTCTGAAAAAAAAAGTTTTCATGGACTTAGATATATCCAACTTGTTAATTGTTTAGCTTATGCATTAAATCTTTTTCTTCAGCAAAACCAAACCCGCTAGGATATAATGCATATATGTTTCGTTATGTATATATGTTACTTTTTCCAGTACCAACAATTATCTTGCCAGAAAGTTCTATAGACACAAAGCATATAAATTACCTTTTACCATAGCTCTCTATATCTTTCATTGAAATTCTTCACATATTAATGTCGTATATAAGAAAAAACTGGCCCACTTATTTGGACTTAGCTAATCCTTCCTTTCGAAAGGGATAGACCGTGAACGTATAAAATAGTCTAGCAAGAATAAAGTATATATATATACAAAATCCATGAAAAAGTTGTCCATCCTGAATAATTTAAACATTATTAAGCTGCCACTAGGGGGCTATAAAATATATTTATCGTAAATATAAACTCCAGACAATTCATTATACTTACAGCGTATAAAGACACCTTATCAGGTATAATCAATAATACTACCAGGCAGAACTTTATTAGAAATTAGAAAACGTGTGTTATTGCTTTACTAATGTGGGGAAGGCCTGGTGGTTATGGCGCTCGAGTCGCCATTTGTGAGTGGCGGATTTGAATCATGTCACCGAACGTGCTCGCCCTTTCAGCTGTGGTGGCGTTATAATATGACGGTCAATTCATTGTTCGTTGATAAAAAAGTAGGTCAAGAGTTTGCGATGTGTACTGTGGCTAGCTGCCTTCCCTCTAGTCTGTCACTTCTAAATTAGGGATGGCTGGTGCAGATAGCCATCGAGAGTTACGTTGTGCGAAATTCAGCAAACAAACAAATTAATGTGGGATGTTCTCAGTTTGTTTTAGAGCAAAATCACATTAAGTTATCTGCTGTGTCTACCCGGGGAATCGAACCTCAGATTTTAGCGTTGTAAGTCCATAAATTTACCACTGTCCCACCAGAACTAGTTGAACAAATGTACTATATACGTCGGTCTGTGTGATTCACCATGAACGGTCAAAAATAATAAAACTAGCTATTCGAAGCTTGATGACGGTTACACATAAAATTCGGCACATTCGAAGTATTTGCAAATAGAGTCAAATTAGATAAACGTGAAGTTCACGTATACGTGTGTGAACATCCAAGGTAGAGGAATCTGCACCTTTCACCATTAGGTCGTGATTGTTGGTGCTCTATTTGTATATAAAGTTGATTATTTAATGTATTTAATATGGAATCAAATCAATGATTTTATACACAATTACCTTTTATATGTTAAATCTATCATCAGTATTTACAGCGGCGAGAGCGATGGTCAACGATGATAAACTAACCATATTCACCATATCTAGAATTTAAAAGGCTAAACTAATTACATTGACAAAGAAGCAATGATACATTCTGAAAATATAAGATTCAATAGAATATACCTTCAACACCAACCTGACTATGGACACGGGCCAAAAATAAGTATGTGCGTGTGTTCTAACAACTGAATTAGTAGACAGATCTTGTGAATTTTATGTTCTGTTAATAATGTGCTAATGCGCCTGTTGTATTTTAAAAGTTTTCCATTTTTAGATATAAGAATAGTAGAATCCAGATTAAATTTAATATAAATAACCATTTAAAATTAACTTTTTATTCGTTAGAAGATGGCGAATATAAAGTTTTTTTTAATTTTTACAAAAACAAAGATAAACTTGGATGAACATGAGCTGAGTTAAACCTCATTCATCACCCTTAACACTAATGTGTAAGGTAAAGTGGCTGTTTAGAAGGGTAGGGGGAAGTAAAAGCTAATTAAAGTTGAAAAGGATTCTGTATTAAGTAACTAGAGCAGACACAAATTGTCAGTTTTATCTCTCTGCACTGAGACTGTTTGACGAGTATGTTAAGGAGGTTGTGAGGATCCACAGTTTCACTGTAAACCCTGAGACAGCTGTCAGCATGGTTGCTGGCCTCTTTGTAATTTTGGTGAGTAGTGTTAGTGTGTACAAATTGTAAATCAATATAAACACTATGTACCTACATATAGTTTTTTTTTCTTTTACTAGTTTGCTAGTAAACTTGCCACCATCCACAGAGGGCACTTTACCTTGTTTGATTTTGTTTCCGGATAATCCCTTCTTGATTTTGACGGGTAACATGTACTAGGCGGAAACTAATATAAAAAACTGTACACTCACATGACTTTTTTGTCTGTTGTTTGTTTCCTAGTAAACATACTTCCAGTGTTGTTCCATTTGTCTGAAGTTTATCATGATAAGAACACACAGTTGTTACTTTCCGTGTTGAGAAGTTTGTAAAGTCCCCCCCCCCCAAAAAAAAAGAAAATGCTGAAGTGTAAGTAATAAAATGCCAGACAGTATATTTTTAATGTAATTATTCTCTCTGTATTTTGTCCTTGTGAAAGCTTTTGGAAAGTGGAATGATAAAGCTTAAATAATGCTTGCGCCATGATACTTATTACATTTCGAACTTAAGTAGTATTTAAGTGCTTAGGAGGGGTGGCTACTCATAAAGGCAAACTATAAATTACTCTGGATGAATTAAAGGTATAATAAAGAGACCCTAAAGTAAAGGTAACGAGCAGATTTGATACAATAAAAATTACATCTAGTCTAGACCTTTAGGGCGGAACATAAGTGAAGATTGAATTACCTTTTCCTCAGTGTCAAGTGGAGTCGGCCGTCATTTCTTTTCGTTCATTTTGTATTTTTAGAGAAAATTGTTTTTTGTTTGTCCCCCCGGTGAGATAGCTAAAATACTCAAATCTGGGGTTGGATTCTCCGCGGAGGACATAGTACAGATAACCCATTATGTAGCTTTGCAGTTGAAAACAAGAGTTTTTATATTTTGTTAAAAAGCGTGTTCAAGCTATGATATTCAAGGTGAACAGACTTAGCATAAAATATATTATAACAATGATTGTCATGGAGAATACACTTGGCAACTTATTGATATCCATTAAAGCTATTAAAACACTCTTTTAATTAGCATACGTTATCTACTGGATTATTAAATTAAATCCAAAAAACGATGCATTGATTTTATTAAAACATCAACACTTTTGAAATCTAGAATGTTCGAACATTGTTACACATATTGTAGTTTAATATAACATGGAAAACCATCGATGCCAATTATAAAACGCCAAGCAATTTTTTTTCCAGTATATGATCGATTAACCCAGTGTCTTCAACCTTTTTATAATATTAGCAATAAATTATAGTATATAAGAACCAAAAGAAACAATCTTCTCTAGGTGCTTGCTTAGAAAACCATCTAGTAACCAAGAGATTTAATTAAACGCTTAGATCACATAAAAAAACAACATATGTACTTTTCACATAATGATTAGAAGTGTAGCTAAAAATATTGTATATAATATTTAAAATATTGTATATATAGTTCAAAACTACACATTTGTCTAGATGGGAAAATAAGAGTAAATTGGATTGTAGGATGTTTGCTTGAGAAAAAGATATAAAGTTGTTATCCAGTCGAACTGGAACCTTGTTACAATTGGAGTGCTACAGAGTTAGTGATTACATGGATCTTTACGCTTGTTCTTATTTACATTAATAATATTGATAGAGGCGCAGTTAGTAAATTAGTAAAGTTTGTAGATGACATTTATATCCCTAAGTATTTCTAGGTTTATTAAGGATGTTTAGGTATTTCAGAATGGCTTGGATGAGTTGGTTAGCTGGACAAATATTTGGCAAATAACCTTTAGTTATAGTAAGTGGAAGTAATGTACATAATTTGAATCACACGTTTAATATAAATGAGAGTCCACTTATGAGCGTGACCGAAGAAAATGATTTTGGCATAGTAATAGATAAGTCACTCACACCATTACTGAGGCAGTGCTCGTAAAGCTAACAGAATTGTAGATTGTATTTGTATAGATTTATATAGATTAAAAGTCAAAAGATGTACTGTGTAAAGTATGTTATTCTTACCTAAGAAAGGACATACGTAATTGAAATGGTTCAGAGGAAGGAAACTTTACACAATACATCCGATAACCCTTGCATCCTAATAATGTTATTCTTACCTAAAAAAAGGGCATACGTAATTGAAATGGTTCAGAGGAAGGTTATTACGATGCAAGGGTTATCGTATGGGGATAGGCAAATTTCTCATTTTCTCAGGAGAAAAAAATATTAACCGGATGATAGATAGGATAAAGTCATCTGATTTATTTGTGCTATATTCTGAAGTCAATAGAACGAAAGGATAAAAACTCCGTTTTGGAAAAGACAAGGTAGGTTCCAGTTAAGACAGTTTTATTTTTTCTAACAGGGTGATTGGTTTATGAAATGAATTTGCGTCGGCAGTATTGGAGACCGACACTTTACAAGAGTTTAAAAGAGAAATCGATAAATTCCTGAACATTAAAGAGTTGGTTTAAATTGAAGAACCATATGGGCCCTTATTGTCTATATACTATGTTGTTATGCGCTTATAACCCATTGTTTCTAGTGTTTAGAACTATATCATAATATACTATATGTAGTTATTTGCTTAACAGATATAGTACTTATAACTGTATATACATATATATATATATATATATATTACAGGAACCTTCCTCAAGATGGTCAAGTGGGCAGAAAACAATACCAAGGCGCTCTTTGCCCAAATATATCACAACATAGAGCCTGAGGCACAAGTTGCTGGGACTGAACTCTATTCTAATTTAGCAGATTTCCTCAGAGGACGAGATCTTGATATTGAAGCTCAGGTGGCTGAGTTTTTCACTTCTCTTTTTCCTTATGTTTACCGTCATGGTATTAACCCTAATCTTGAATTTTCCGAAGAGAAGTTCGTCACTTGTTTACGACAAGTTCAGTCGAATATAAAACCTTTTGGTGAGATACCGAAAAACCTTGCCTTTCAGCTTTCCAGATCGTTTCAAGATGCTAGGACGCTGTTGCAAGCTTTAATCCTTGGCTTAGAAGTCATCAATACCACTGACCACAAGGAGTTTGGGATGGAATGTACTAAAGCCTTGGTTAAAGTTGACTTACTGTGCTCATTGCCAAGGACTGAAGTCATGGAAACCATGCAGTGGCTATTGTTTGAACGTAGCTCGTGGGTGCCTTGCACACGTTGCTGAGCTAGACCACCCTTGGAATGATTTTGTAACCGGCCTGGAACTTCTAATTTCTGGAATGATAGATGACCACAACATTGAGAAGGTGCTCAGTATGATGGACACCAAAATAACTGAAAGTCTAATGTACGCAATGGAACATGGTCCGGAACTCACTGCACGGGTAAGAATATGTAGTTAATTCTTAATGCATATGTAACAGCCTATTGAAAATCATACCTTGTCCATTTAATTACAAGAGTTTTACCTTTAAGCCCATATTTTCATGTAATATCTTATGCCAATCAAACATTATAAATAAATATACTACATACGTTAACTAACCTTTAATTCCTGATGTTGAAGTATGAGTAAAGGAGAATACAGATGTCTGCAAGTAACACTATACAAGTTTTATCTATCAACAGTTTTAGTTTTGTTTCCAGAGGGTCTTTGAACACTGCGAGAAAGTAAAACAAATCTTCAAAATATCCTAATGTTATTTCTGTTTTAAAATAGCAGTGTTATATATATATATTTTTTTTGGGGGGGGGGGGGGAGAGGGTGTCACAAACTGAACGGCACCAACACAGAAGAAAAGACAACAGGAATTCTAACTGATCCTACCTTTCGATAGTGGTGTTTTATTTGTCTATCCAACCATTTGAAATGTAATTTTTCTTGCTAAAACATAACAGCATATATTTACAAAAATAAATAAATAAAAAGTGGGGGAATAAAAAGACGAAACAGTCTCAGCTTCGTTTGTCTTTAATCACGTTTAGAGAAACATTTGTTCTTGACCATCAAGTAAAACGAAAACGTGGACACAACTGTTTCAAGTGCATGGATAATAAAGTAAAGATAAACAACAATGACCAGTACTACCGTACGAGATTTCTAAAGATGAACAATTAGTGACATAATAAGTCATTTGGTTAAAAGTTATGTAGGATACATACAGTATGAACTTGTATAAATTTGATTTTTATTTTCGCTATGAATGTGTGTCATTTGTTTGAAGAGCTTTGGGAATCGACATCTACTTGGAAGAATTATATATATCAAATCAGCTGATAGCAATATCCAAATGACTACTACCAAGTTTTACTCCAGGCCTACTAGATAGAAAACAGTCTCTTTTCATCGGTCCCTCAGTGGAACAGCGGTAAGTCTATGAACTTACAACGCTAAAAATCGGGTTTCGATTCCCCGCGGTAGACAGTAAATAGACCACTGTGGCTTCGCTCTAAACCCAAACTTTTCGTAGTTTTTATAGGTGGCGTCAAATATTTTGTGCTTTTTTTATACGCATGGATATATAATAAGAACAAAATATATTACGATCGTATAATGATACTTTCATGTGTTTTTGTTTTTCCTGACCGAATGATATTTGATATTCATTACATTGTATGTTGTTTTTGTTTATTTTATGCTGGCGTCCATAGATGTAATTTTCATACCTTAAAATTTTTATCTAGTAGTTTTAGTATTAAAGAGTACATCTAGAGCATCAAAATAGGTTGTAGTTGTTTTAGAATTTTTGCAAGAAACTACAGAAGCATAAGATATAACTACGCTTAGCCGTTCCTAATTTTGAAGTGATAGACTAGAGGGCAGGAAGCTAGTCAATACCACCCATCGTCAACTCTTTGAACTACTCCTGTCTGATTAAAATAGTTTTGGAAACAAACATTTATTAAAGTAAGTAGCTGCTTATGATTTTTATGAAGTTAGGGTAATGAGTATCGGTTGGGGTTGACAGAGGGGAAAAAGCGGCCTACTTTTGGTCAATCTCTAAGAAATTAGAGGATTGCTTACAGCACTTTAAGTTATTAGAAAATTATTGGAGTGAGCGGCCACCTTTCTAAATTCATCCGGTATGGAGACTAAAAGACCTTCTATGGTTATGAAACGTTATAACCTCATATACGGGAAACAAGTGTAAGGTCAGAAAGAGAGGGACTTGTTGGCGTGTGTTTTAGAAAGGAACAAAAAAGCAAGGAGTTCAACGAAAAGAAAAAAAGAAGACCAAAAGACATGAGAGAGAGAATTAATAAACCAAGAGAGGCAAAGGAAGAAAGTAATGTGTTGCCAGTAAGAATCAAAACCTATTTCTAATTCTATATATGTTTGATTGGTTACCAGTAATAAATAGCAGTTTGTTATGTTTACATTTGTATGAGTCAATTTTCCTGATAGGAATAAGTGCAACATGAATATAGTTGATGGATATAAGAAGAGAAAGCAAAGTGCGTGAATAGCACGATCGTTAACAATAATTCATTTATTTCAAATATTTTACCCCATTATCAATTTACGCTTTAAAATTATTCTGTACCAAACAAAGAAAATATAACGCACTGACATTTTTCGTATAATTTTTTAAATCTTTTTTTACTTCATTATACGTTGAGCTCTACCTTAAATTACTGTACTTAGCATGCCATATATGTGAATTAGATTTTGAACAATACTTTCAAATATTTTTAATATAATTACTGCTAACATACTGCTACTGGGTGTGTATTTCTTGTATAGTGTGATTGTTTGTTTGTCATTAAGCAAAAAAGTTGCATATTGGGCTATCTATGCTGTGCCCATCACGTGTATCGAAACCAATTTTTAGTGTTATAAGCCCTCAGACCTACTGCTGGTGAGCTGTAAACTCTGAAGTCATAACATGAAAAAAATCATTATCATATATTAGAACCTTTACCCTCTGGTGAGTCAGCGCTAAGTTTGCGGACTTACAACACTAAAATCCGGGGTTTGAGTCTACTCAATGGACAGCGTTCAGATAGCCCATTGTGTAGTTTTCCACAGAGATAGGTAAGAACAATTAAAAACTTTTTATACATTTCAATAATTTGGTTTCGAAATTATTTTCGACACAAAATATAATAACTAGGAATATCTATCATTTTTTGTGAAATTTTTTGCGAGCTGATCAACTGATATAAAACTAATACCATATTACTGGAGATGATGAGGTAATTATCTATGCTAGGCTTTCATAATCTCTGTAGGCCATTTTGTGGTGGTAGAATACAACGTTTTAGGAGGCATTGCTTGCATCTAGAATTTTTTAATCCAGTCATGCTTCGTAAGCAAACTCATGTAGATGTTTATGATTTTTACTTGACATCTAAGACACAAAGTTTAATTTCAATTTTCTTAGGTTTCAAGATGCATAATTAAAATGTGGTTTCCCACCAAACGTATTGCATTTTCAAATTTTCTATATAAAAAAAGGTGTGTGTGTGGCAGGGATGTTATTACCAAGATAAAAGAATTATGGAGGTTAGAAACGTTTCTAGCAATAGAATTGGGTTAGCTTAGCTGAGATGTCTAGCTGTCACATCTTCATTCAACGATAGCAACAAGAAAATACATGCACGCTGCATAATATGATCTCTGACCCAGATTTGTGTCAAAAGGCGTTCTTGATTTACAAATCAAAGATCCTCAGGGTCAGAGGCTAGTGTTTGTTTATTTGTTAGTTATTTCTTTAAAGTTCTCCTACTCTGTAGAAGGTTGATAAACGGATGTGTGTGTGGGCCTAAGTACAGTCACCATGTGCACTCGGAATTTGATAGTGTTATATATAATCTAGTGATAATTTAAGTAGTCTTGGAACACGAATGGAACGGCAATAAATAAAGGATTTTATCTTAGCTCTGAAGGCCTGCATGCTTTTGGTAGGTAAATAACTCAAAATGGTCGTAGTGTCTCAAATCATGACTGTGTGCTAGAAGACAAACGGCGTGCTTCTCTAAAATCGCATCGAAAGGTCAAATAAGGTATACATTTACTCTTGCTATGACGTTAAGCCTCCACTGTCCTGTTTCTTCCATTTGTGGTGGGACTCTGTCCTCTAAAAGTCTAAAGCACGGTGTAAAAACTAGCAATAAGACTTTAATAATCAGTGTCTTGTTTGAGAAGCAAAGGTTTCGCTGAAATATAGCATGTCTAGCTCTCAGCTAATCCTGATCATTTTTACATTACATATATATTTAGAAATGAAGATTGGATACTTTACTAATTTGACATGTGTTATATTATAATATCCTATACGTCAAAGTACAGAGTAACACCATGAATGATAACCTAACTGTTTTAATTGGAGTACAATAAATTAGTTTAACAAAATATGCTCTATAAAACGTGCCTGGTGGATATCAGGTTTTGAATACATACTTGAATGATACAAACCATTAGTTTTTACTGTATTATAGTTGAGTTTTAAAACAATAGATTATTAATGTAGAAGGTTCTGTGCACATTAGCAGCATCGGGCAGGGTGATCTCTAAGTAAGAGGGTACCAGGTTCGCGTCCCGTTGCCGTAAGTAAAAAAATCGCGCTTCGCACTTTGTGATTGTGGTATGTTCTGACGTTCTAATATTGCCAGTCAAATACCACTGTTTCATTAAAGTATTTTATTGTTAAACAGAAAGTTACATAATAGGCTATCAGTGCTCTGCCCACTGCTGGTATCAAAAACCGGTTTTTACAGTTATAAGTCTTCAGACTTACGAGTAAGCCACGGAGGGAGATCGATTAGAGTAGGCCTTTAGCCTATTTGTACAAGTACTTATGACAAAGCTACAAAAGATATTTACCGCCATCCTACAAACAATATCTCTTCAAACCATCCGTGTTACGTATAATAGTTACCCTGAGCAACAAAATGAAGTGGGACTTAATAACATACATGTAGGGACGTGAACAACTTGGTCTTACGAGTTGAATACGTCCTTCAGACAACATTTTCTTTCAGTTTGCCAAATCTAATCGTCCAGAAAACTTAATCAATGATTAATTATTTGCTTTTCTTGCAAAAAAAAAATAAATAAATAGATAATAGTACCTTGCGTCTTTATTTCTTTTCAAACACATTGTGCTACTATATTAAGGGAAAAAACAAAACTAGTCGGCTGAAATTTCCAATAAAGATCTTATCTTTTTTTGTGCCAAGAAACGTTCTTTTTTTGTTGTTGTTTTTACCCTTAATACCTCATGTCTTGCTTGAAAGTGTCACAGTTTCAGCAGAAAATAAAATCATAAAAAATACTTAATGTACTGGGATAAAAGTTTAAAGAAGTCACTATAAAAACTACAGAGACAAATCTCTCTATAGATTAAAGTAATTGCAATCAGGTTAACCTGAAGATGAGGCA